CATTCAGGCTGACGTAACACGTGCTTGCCTTGCACTTGAGGCAAAATCTGCTGTAAAGAAACGTATTGTTCATATCCCTACTGCAGTTCATTGTAATTTCATTACCTTACATCTAAAGACATGATTGACTCTTTCGCTTTCTTTACAGCTCATAAATGGAAAAACACTTCAAGTAACAATCGACTTACTGTGAGTGCCAATATTCATTTAGAAGGAGGACTTATCAACGGTGCAAGCTTCAATTACTTTTTGTAAAATGCGATCAACACTTCGGTTCTCACGGAGAAAAAATTCAATGTTCAGGAATTGGACTCCTTAACGAGGCACATGATGAGATAGCAGGTAGCTGGTTTATGCTGCACGTACTACATTCCTATCAAAGTCAACAAAATTCTTACTCTCCCCAGCTAAAAACAACAAACATACCTTTGCACTGCACGTAGGAAGAGGGGTCGGGCCGAATTCTGGTCTCATTTGCTCTAACAATAGAAGGACAATAACTCAAATTAGAAGACTCGTTGTCGGTGTTAATAAGCTTGTTATAAATTAAAGAACTAATTTAGGAAAAAATAAGCAAATTAGAATCGGGTCAAAAAACTTGGGAGCAATTCTGAAATTCTTCACGAGCTGAGCCATAAAGCTCCAAGTAAACCCTAAGCAAGAAGTACCTGATAGTTTCCGCAATTCTTGTAGCCTACTCTGGATATTAAATAAACTGCCGCTGTATCGCTGCCACTGCCAGCGCTGGGTTGACAATTCGTATCCATCATCATCGAAATACGCTTTGTGAGGGAAAACATCACTGTTATCTGCAACCTCAAAAACGAAAAGAAAAGACATTTTAAAGTTCAACATAAATTTACCAGCCTTTAACATACAAAGTTTTAACGGGAAAGCGTATGGTCGGTACACTGGTCGTTCATCTTTAGGCAGACAGCCTTTTTACAGTGAAACGTTTTAACCCACGGGTATCATCTGTTCGTGTAGTCTGATCGCCCTGGTGGGGGTGGTCCTGGGTAGGAATGTTCTCGGTATTAGTGACTGACGTTTCGACAACCTGAGCGGAAGTCATCATCAGAGTCGAGTGAAGTGCAAACTTAAAATACTGACTGACTACTTAAAAAAAGAGTGATTCTACAAAGTTGAAATTTCCCTCTCTTTTCAGAGAGAAAAATTAGTGAAATATCGCCAATTTACACTTGTTAAATACTTACATATACAAACAGAATATTCCTCGCTGGACGGTACAAACACGTCAACACCCATACATTGGAAGTAGAATGTTTTGTTGACCCTTGAGTCGTATTCCACTGAACAGCTAACTCCGGATTATCTGACGTTGTTAAGAGTTCTGGAAAATAATAATAATTAAACCAAAGTTCAGGAATTCGGCAAATGTATCACACACCCAAGAGATGAAGGCCGGTCAAATGCATTATTTTATGTTGGAAATGTTTTACCTAAGTTAACTTAGACTGAATTATTATACATACGAACAGTTCCTTACCCCTAGTTGATTGTATGCAAGGGATTTCTTCAACGCAGCCAGAGGAAGCCCCCATCATAACTGCTTGGGTTTCCTGTTTGATTTGTTGTACAAATTGTCCACATTCTACTGCAAACGTCTGGTTGTGTAAACTGCTGTCTTTTATCCAATTAAACAAGAAAAACCACCTTTCATAGTCCGTGATTAGATGAGATTGAATACCTTCCGCTTCTGAGGCAAAGAAAAAGGAAGTATCACATTTTTTAAGACCTTTCAGGTGTTTCAAGTCGTGGGCTTCTAGAAGGAAGCTATCTTGAAAAAGGGAGAGTTTCCTTCCTTTTAAGGTCGGTAACATAACTTTGTTGGACACTCTAGAAGTTACTTGCTCTCGGTTAAAATGTCCAAACATCAAACTTTGGCCCGCAGCAGCCTTCTTGATTACAAATTTCCGATCCTCATGTACCAATGCATTTTCGCTGAGCTCATCTACAAGGTAATCCATTTCTATTTCGGAAAAAAAAACAAGAGAAGTACAATACGCTGCGTTAACTTAAGCCATAATTACGACTGTTGTCAATCAAAACAATTGTGGTCCGTAAAGGGGTTTTGATATCCATAACCATAAATTTTTCTGAATGAAATGAAAAAAGGGGTAAAATCTGTAGTAAATCAAAAAAATTTTATTTTCTAGACGATGATAGTGAAAGGCTATACCAATGCGTTGTCTCAATCTGTAGAACGGGTTTTTGTTTGCTCTCTTCCTTTTCTAAGGCTTATATGTGTAAATTCTTTCTACACCAATAGCTAACTGAATGTTTTACATAACAACCACAAGTACAATGGTGGGAAAGATTTACTGTCTACAAACATTTATGACAAAAAAAACATGATCACAGGGTACCTTTAGAAGTCGCCAGAGGAATGTTATCTTCAGACTCGGAGCTTACGCTCTCGCAAGATTCGTTAGACGAGGTGTCGATGTCTCCCACATAACCAGTGTCCTTGACAACATTACTTTCAAGATGATTGCTTTTTTCTTCACTGCTGAGACCTGTTTGGTAAAAGCACAAAATAAAAAGAAATAATACGTTACTGCCTATACGTCACCCTCCGCTACGATCTTAAGGGTGCGCGGTTTCTTTCGTATAAACATCACTTCACAACTTGCAAGTTGTATACATATCTAAGAACATATTCTTAGTCAGCAGTGCTAGTTGTTCACTCACCGAGCTGCTTTTGCGCTTCCTCCGCAGCTCTCACAAGCTCAGACCAGTCGATTGTCTGTGGGTAGTTTGGGGCGTCACTCTCTTTAGAAAATCTAAGCAGCACAAACGTGTTTTAACAATTGTATTTTAACTGTTTATGACTCGTTAACGTTCGCAAAAAGCAGTCGATCTAAACCTTATGATGCTCATAAAAAATGACTGCATCAGCAGTGACGAAGGGCTAACGCTCGAAGCGTCAGCTTTTTAACTCATTACGGTGGCCAATTTACAATTTCAGCCTAAGTTGATATAACCAAATCTCATAGGTTAAGTCGAGGATAGTCGACACAAAAATGGGAAAGGACAATTCAATATCAAAATAAAAAAAAGTCTAGATCGTTTTAATCTCTGCTGAAACTCGACCCACTCTCATCCCAGACAGAGTGGAAAAGGGCGACTAAATCTTTTGCGAAAAAGCATCAAATAAGTCAACAAGAGTTAACCAAAGAAGCCCAATATCATTTTAAAACAAAAAAGAAGAAACTAATGTACATCAACCTGAGTGGCAAAGTGAACTCACTACAACAGTCTAACGCCTGATGTCGATCCGTGGCTCGCAGTTAGAAGTAGACGAGCATCTAAATGTCTCTAACATCGCATATTACCGCGATGAATAACCCCAACCGTTTTTGTAATCTTAGTACCTTTTAGTTATCTCCTCAACGTAAATTGCTTTCTTCTCATGCCCACACTCTCTGGCAATAGCTTCAGGAAGAGCTGACCTGTCTTTGTAAAGGTCATAAACTACTCTTCCGGCGGAAGAGTTGAAGATCATTTCAATGAATCTTTGGCCACCAATTTCTGCTGCAGTGTAAACTAAGACGCATAGCATCTGAACTGGCTGTCTAGAACCTAAAAAAAATTGTGAGTGGTTACAATTGGTCAAACATGGCCAGCCAATCAGCAATTACTTGGGGCCTTCTATCAAACATAACTTTCTGGCCAGAATAGTTGAGTGCTAAATTTAAATCCAGTATTCTGCTAACAACTCTAATAAATCGAAAAAACATTTTAAGAAAATAAAACTATTAACTTTCCCATTGACTGGTCTAGCCGGTCAGATCCAACAAACAATAAGTGAACAACGAAGACAATTCTTTAAATTTGTTTTCAAAAAGGCAAAAGATTTTTTAAAAAAATGATATTCAGTATAACATTGCAATAGGTAGGGGACGATATTGAGAGCTTGTAATTTGATATTTTGAAGGAATTAAAGGATATACATAAATGACGCATGATTTGTAAAAATTGATTGAATGATTGACCGATTGATTGACTAGTTGATTAATTGATTGATTAACAGTAAGATTGACTATGATGTTAGTAGCCTGGGGAGAGGGCGTAATTTTGACGGGCGAGTACTCAGTATTATCTCGATGAAAATTTCAGCTGCCATCTTTGATTTTACAGCAGCGGAAGGCTGGAGAGAGAAAGAGATTTTTGTACTAAGGGGGTGGGCAACAGTCAAAAAGAAGGAGAGGGCAGGGGTCGGGCAATGAATATTACGCCTTCCCCCGCCCCCTACACCACCGCCGACTCTAACTCCATATTAAACAAATGATCGCCCAACTAGGACGCCTGTACTGCAGGATTTGATGTTAGCAATGATTCAAGATTCAAGCTTTGCAGAATCCTCAACATCTTATAAAAAATTCAACAATTTAGGATTTTCGCCTTAGTTTGCATCTGTTAGGGACACCTGCAGTTTTTCTCGAGTAGTTCTCGTGAAATTTGGATGTAATCAATAAGTTGCGCCACTCACCACAAATTCCAAAATTTTGTGCTTCACCCCCATTGGATGTTGCAGTGTTATGATTTTCCAAACTATCAGCCCATTTTCGAAAAAGATGCGCCTGTAACCTGGGGCTTTGAACCACCACCTCGAGGGCCTCGAGTTCTTCATCATAATATAGAATAACTGTTTTGCCCAACGCTTTACCATCAGCTTTCTTTAAAAAAATCTTGACCCAGCCTGGCTTTTGGGCAGCTATAATAACAAAAACACGCAAAAATAATGATCATCACGATTAAAACTGTGGAGAAGGCATACCTCGTACTTCATTCCTTTTTGCGTTTCTCGTTTCTTTTCGTACCTTTTTGTTTTGTTTTTCTTTAAAACTTTTGTCTGATATTATTGGGATGTGAAATTCAAACAAACTAAATATAGAACACGAATACAAGGTACCTCGGTCACACCAACATTAAAAAATAAAATACTGATCATAGATATTTGAAGCCAAAGCTCCTGCTGTTACTCTAATGACCAAGAGAGTTCACATGCTGAACATTTCGTTTGTCTCTGCACAAGTTAAGAAAGAGTTGAGGACAATTTCACAGTTATAATTAAGGAGTAAGAATTAACATACGTGGAATCTTCATTCCAATGAGGAATTTATCCATTAATCTATACACTTCAACTGTTTCCAGATTCTCGAAGCTAGCAAATCCAGACTGCACGTTCTCTGGCAACGCTCGATCGGATTCAAAGCGACAACAACCTGCACCCTAGAAAACAGAAATATGCCGCGTAACGAAAACTGCAAACGTTTACGATGATCAACATACCATGTACAGCATAGTGAGTTAATCCATCCAGACACGGCCAAAACTGATTTCCTTAAAAGTTTAATAACTCTTAATTAATTATATCTGATTTTTTATCTGTTCGTTTACATATTAATAGGATTTCGCGGTAGAACACTCTTAATATGGTTGATTGCCATACAATTTAGGTGCATATATAGCATTATAACATGCATATAACAGAAAGCCATCTGCATATCAATCACATAAGGTATGCCCTGATACAATGATGAATACCCAACTACGATAATTCTCGTAAAACCTTACCTTCAGGGGAACCTTATTCGGCTCGACACTGAAGTTAAAGTGCTCATCTTCATGTGTTGACAGATCATCTACGGAACATTATTGACATTTTACAAAAGAATTGTACACATGCAGTTTCTGTAAATTCTCGCTAGTTCATCTATTTCCCTCTCTGAAATTATGGCACATCACTGATCTCGACAGAGTAAAATATGAGTGGTTCTCTGCAGCCCATATTTTTTCGGCCTAATTTGCTGTTTCAAGTCTAACCTGTCCGATTTCGGACTTCTTGTCGTACAATCCAGGGGTAATTTCTCGTAACGCTACGCGTTCCTCCAATTTAAAATCACCCTGCAGATTACTCTTTGAATTATACTCCACTCGGTCCTATTAACGACTACTAAACTATGCAAATCAGCCGTTGTAAAGATTTACGAGGATACTTCGGGTAAGTTTCTAACTCTACACAGTCTTTTACCTGAAGAGGAGTTGTGATCACATACACCGCTGGTTGAACCGTCATCATCGGCAGGGCAGTCAAAACTCTGTTAAAAAAGAAACAACATAAGGTCACATGATGCTAAGTTTGAAGACACAGGCCGAACATTTATAACACCCATCTTGCTATACTTAGAGGATATTGGAATACTTTCAATTTAAACACTACAGCCTTTTGTTTCTTTACGTACAACACTACAAAAAAAAAAAACCCTTAATTTTTTGTACATTATTAATGCATTTGATTTCCCATAAAAATGCTCCCTTTAATGGTCCATTTTCTCCTCTAAATTAAAATAACTCATCACGAGGCTCGAATATTGCTCATTATACAGATACTTTAAAAAATTTATTCTTATTTTTAACAGGGTGTTATAACGTGAAATAAAGGTATAGGTGAGTAAACGGTATAACAACATGGCCGGTTTTTTGAGCCTTGAGTCTTGAAACCTAAAAGCGCTGACCTCTTCCCAGTCTCTGCTCAGCTGCATTGGAGCGGCAACAGTGACACTTGATTTCATTTGTTTGAAATTAGAGTTTTCCGGAAACCTTCCAATAAAATGCACGAATAATGCTTAGTGCTCTGGCCTCACTAAAATACTCGAAGGAAAATATTTCCTTTAAAATTTATTTTGTCTTTATTTTTTTTTCTCAATCTGAGGGATTCAGATGCCGGTAATAAATAAATGTTTCTATTATGGGAAGGTCTGCAAGTCTGGTCTTCTTAATACCAAATCTTAAGACTTTCCATACACTATTAGTTTAATGGGCAAATGTAGCTCATTCATTTTCCATTCATGGAGATAAATCTTACCTCAAGAGAATTCAACAAGATTCCTTGATTAGGGGGTTGAATATTGCTGATATCTGAAGTCCCTACAATAGAAATATCATTTATAGTTTCAATTTTCTTTTTACACACTTATCTTTGTTTATCTACCTTTTTTTTTACACACAGATCTTGATTGGCTGTTAGTTGTTGTCTTTTGGAAAACAGATGCACATATTAAGTCAACGTTTGCATCTTAATTGTAGTAAACAAATAGATTCGTTGTTGCCATGGGTGTGTAGAGTGACAGATCAGAGTACAACTGAAAATTTTGTTCAAGCATTTGTGACGCACTCGGCTACGCCGAGATAATAAGTCGACATTGGTTTAAGCTTCATCTGTACTCTTATCGACAACGATATTTGTCATTGCAGTGGTCAAAATGTTGTAAATTCACGAAGTGCAGCCAAGTGAGTCCGCAACAGATTTGACCACGCTAAACTACTGACGATATGTTTTATTACCACAATATCGACGTAAAATAAAATGTTCTTTCGGTGCGACAACGGCAAATTAGCCAATCAGATTGCGATTTCCAATTGGAGTGAAATATATCTGTTTACCACCTAAAAAACACTATGGAGAAGGTATACGAAAGAATCTGTTGACGATCAAGTATCATCCTTGTAAACGGGAAGTGTTAAGCGCTTTAAAAGTATAAAGGGTATTTAATATGGACAACACTCAATGTTTCCCTGATGGAAACGACTTAGAGAGTTCTCGATTTCTTTTAGTTTGATTTTCTGCGCACTACATGTAACACATGTCCCCATTGCACCCCACATTTGCTTCAGCCGCTTTCACAGAAAGGTATGACATTACTAATACACCTACAGAAACGTCTCGAATATGCACATCTGTCTCACCATTCTGCTACGTTACAGAATATACTAGCTGCAACTTTCGTACAAAACCACCTCGCAAATATGGGTCTTTTATCTTCTCAAGTCTAAGTCAACGAAAGTAGTTGACGTACCTGTTTCGTCATTGTCAAAAAGACCTGGCATCTGCAAAAATTAGAAAGAAAACAGGTTAGTGTAACACTTTGAAAAACTGTTAACTACAGGCTATAACGTCTTCACCTAGTTTTAACAAATCTGGGATTAACATCATTTCAATACCAGCTACTACATATACCTTAATTGATGGTAAAACATACAATACGCGCAGGTATTTTGCAAGTTGCGTAGTGTTTTGCCGAGCCCCAAAGGGGAGGAAAAATGCGAAGAATGAGCTAAATGTCGGCTCGTATCATACCTTAAACCATCGACTAACAGATCTATTATTCCACTATTACAAGACTACCATTTCACTGTTAAATATTTCAATTTCAATTTTCAAAATACATCCTAAGCCGTATCTGTACATTGTACTGATCGCGCGAGGATTATTAAAAAGACGAAAACAACACGAACGAAACCACTAAAGAGTTCTTTGCGTCCTACAAAGATATTTGTCGCGCTTAAAAGTAGGTTTCTTTAAAAATCAAGCCTAAAAAAAAGAAAAAAAAAACACAAATTAAAGTTTCCATCGTTCAGTGCAGCCATTTTGTTGCTCCGTATTTTTGCCCTGTTCTACTGTATAATACCATAGCATGTTTTGCGCGTTCTGATGACCTTATTTGATGAGATAGTAGTGGAATAACAAATGCATCGATTACATCCATTTTAAAAACACTGGTGATCCTTGCAATCTGATTGGCTTACAATGGTGTGATTTACTCACAAATCGTACCATTTTTTGCTCTAAATCGCATCATTTTCCCCCAGCCTATAAAAAAGCTATACTAAAACAAAATTTTAAAAAAACCCAGCCTATAAGAAAGCTACACTGAAACAAAACTAAAAAAAAAACAGCCTATAAGAAAGCTGCACTAAAACAAAACTAAAAAAAACCGTCTATAAGAAAGCTACACTAGAACAAAACAAAAAATCAGCTTTCTAGGCTTGTATAAAGCAACTTATGAGATTCCACGAAAATGAACGACAACTCTTTACAAACCACTGAAACCAGCTCAGTACTGAATCAATAAAATATTTGCACAAACTACAAAATCCTGTATATGAGCGACTGAATTTTGCAATTTCAGAACAGGATGCAATAAAGTGATGTCTGAACTTCGTGTCGTGCAAATTTGGTCTAAAATCATACTACTCTTGTGATTTCAAATCAAACTCGAGTTGCGCATGCGCTTGATTTAAAAATCAAGCCTATAATTTTAGACCTAATTAGTATAGGTAATCGCATGGAGCCGAGTAAAATTAAGGATTAGTATCACGCGTGTTTTCGGAAGTTGCTGAAATTGCCCGAGTCGCGCACCGATGAGGGCGATTTCTGCAACTTCCGAAAACACAAGCGATATTAATCCTTAATTTTACGAGGAACTATGTGATTACTTGTTTATAATATAAGGGGCAATATGTTTTCTTACTGATCTCGCGCAAAACGGGATGCCTTTGTTACAAAACAAACAGAAATTTATGTACCTTGGCAGCCATTGTTAAGCGATTTTCAGCAAATCATTTTGAAGTAATTTTGCCCGGGGCAATTACAAAAATTAAGAAAAACTCCCCTCCGTTCTTGACCAATCAAAAATTCAGTAATTTTGCTCCTATGATAAAATGATAAAAAAGCAAAAATTTCAGCATGCTGTAGGCTGAGAACACGCCAATTAATCCCAAAAGATTGAAACTGAGTGCAAAAAGTTTAAACTAAATTGATTGACAGGTAAGTTGCGAAAGTACAACAAAACAAATGGCAAAAAGGTGGGGAGAAAGTTACAACGTTTTAATTCAGAGTTTGAGGGACAGCACTAAAAACAAAACCACCCAACAAAGGAGAAAAACAACTAAAAGTTTGAAAGTCTTGAGCTCCCAAAAACGGCTATTAAAGCATGAACCAGAGTCCCTGGATAAAATTCTTGAGGATTTTTACACAACAGTTTCTGTTGTGTAAAGAATGAAGGACGGGAAAGATTACAAGCGCAATAGCTTTCGTTTGATGGTTACTGTCGTCGACCGATATCTAAAAGAGGACGAGTACAAACGCTCTATTATTCGTGAAATAGATTTTAAGAGTGTGAAGCAAATTTTTGAGGGAAAAGCCCGACTGCTTCGGCATTAAGGTAAAGGCAAGCGGCCAAACCAGTGAGCCATGACACGAAATACGAACAACTTAAGAGGAAAACAGAGTCATCTTTTTGCTTGTATATTATGAAGAAGTAATCGCACGATTTTCCTCATGCAATTTGATATAAATCAGTACGTGTAAAATTTTTCAAAGACTGCAAATTTACTTCGCCCTACGGGCTCGTGTAAGTTGCATTGGAAAACATGTGATTACCTCATACAAATTGCACTACACCAAGCTCTGTTACTCTATTATGTTTTTTGTGTGATATCTTGCACAGCTGGTTGCGACGCATTTGAAGCTAGACATGCAGACAGAATACTAAAATAATTTAAATCAACATTTAATTAAATGGCTGATAAATAAATGTCTAGTTAAGTTACAATCACATTCTAATTCTGGCATGCTAAGAGATGAGAATAAGATCTTACTTCTTCAGGCCATAGATCCATCAATGTTGTAAAGTCTGGATCTCCATCTGCTTAAAGTAAAAGATATATGCAATTTTCTTTAAAGAAAAAATTAATATTCAAAAACGTTCCTCATGAGCATTGGAAAAGGTAGAATCTAGTTCTCCTGAGGTGGCAAACCAAAGATATCACTCACCAGTGGTAGTCGCTACCGGTGAGTTATCAAGAATTGGTATACCTGGCAACCACGAACTAAAAATTGGATTGCTGAGATATACTAAAATCAATGTATATACCCTATCCCCAGTAACAAATTAAAAGAAAAACTTACATTTGTTTGGAAAAGCCACTGCATTAAAATCATTAGAAAGACATAACAACCAAGTGATATACTAATAGGACTCAAGAATGCAGTAAGAATCCATTATTTTATCAAAACTTTAATAAAATATCATTTAATGTGAGCATTTTGAGATTAAGGGCTGACAAGTTTTTTTGGTGCCGTTTTGGGGTAAAAACAGTTATTTCTGTGTAAATTGTGCAAGTCTACCATTTCAAGTAGATTTTTATGTCTGGTAGATCTATTTTAGACACATCAAGTACATGATATCAGATCTACAAAAACAATTTTTTTTCCATTTGATCTACTCATTGTAATCCATTGTATATAATGGTAGAGTATCCCCATTCTGATCTACCTGCAGCTGCTATGGTTTGTGATGTTATCATATCAACATTTGCACAGGCTGCAGATGGCCCTGGAAGAAACTGGTCGACTTCTTGCATGGGAAAGTCATTTGAGGGTTGCCAGTCCCTCTGAGCCATGATTGTTGCACTTGCATCACTCAAGGTAGATTGGTTCATTAAGTTAGGCAAGGCAACTAAATAATAAAAAAAAAACATGAGAATGAAAATCTGTCTAGTTCATAGATGAAGGACACAACCAACCACTTAAATTTGACCCAGAAATATACAGTCAAGAACTTGTCACTTCTTGTAAAAACACAATCTGTAATTTAAAGCCAAACAAGTTCTCAGCTATGTCACTGGGTAAAAACAGATAATTTCCAAGGTGTATGTTTACATATAAAAGTAAATGATTTTAGAATTAATCTACAACATGATAAAATTAACCTGGATAATGTTACATATTAATTGTTTGATCAATAATTTTTTATCTTCATACATATCCAAACAGAAAAGTTACAAGAGGACAAAAAATTATCAAAAAGCCGATATTACTTGATTTAACACCAAATTATCAGAACAATAATAACAAGTGACATATCAGGAAAATGGCACAGAGTTGAATTATTCACATTTTAATCTTGAGAGTGGAATGGTTGATATAAAGATACTATACGGTACATAAAAAGTCTGATATAAACCAAATTTTTATTTGCCTGTCGCTGTGATTTCTTGTGATGTTGTCACATTAAAATTTGTGCTGGCTGCTGATGACCCTAGATGTGGGATGCTGCTTTCTTGAACTTGAAAGCCACTGCAGGGTGGTATGTCATACTGAGTTGTAATTGTTCTACTTGTATTATCTGAGGCATATGTAGACTGGTTCAAGCCTTGAAATGACACTGCGAAAAGAGTATGGAAATAACAATTGTCAAGTTCTCTAGCGGACATACCATTGTGCCCCCACTTATTATTTTCCAAAGTAATACAAATTAAATAATTATGTAACTGCAGTTTCCCCTCAAATTACAGAATAACAATATAACCCAATGTTTAAGTATTCAGGTGTTGTTACAGGGTAAAAACAACTATTTCAGTGCAGACTGTGTGGTTCTTTCATTTAAAGTATATTTTCTATGTATGGGGGGCTGCTCTGTTTGAAGTAGATTTTTAAGTGTGGTCAACCTACTTGAGACACATAATTGATACAACTTATTACATATGACTTTGTATCTACATGAACATATTAACATACAGCTGTACATCATCACTGATATAATGGAAGATAATTATAACTCTGTTCTGAAGTACATGTACCTGTGCCTGCTATGTTTTGTGGTTTCATCATATCAACATTTTTGCTGGTTGCAGATGGCCCTGGAAGGAAGCTGGTACATCCGTGCAATAAATTGTCACTCCAGGGTTGCAAATTATTCTGAGACATGACTATCCCACTTGTATTACTCAAGGTAGGTTGGTTGACATTTTCCGAAGCAACTAAATAAGAAAAAATTGGAAAGAAAAACTGTCAAGTTCACAAATGATGCACACAACTATAACCACCACCAACATTAATTTTGATAAAAAAAATATGGTAAGAATATGTCACCTTTGTCAAAAAGCTGATATAAAAAGTTCACAATTCAATGCTGAACAAGTTCTCTGCAAGCAGCTAAATTACAAGGTAAAACAGCTAGCTATTTCTGTGTATCTGGTGTATATTTACATATTAAAGTCAATTTTTACAGGTGTTTAATTATATACATCTATCAGGATAAGAGAGAGAGAGAATGTTATATAATTGTTTGATCAATAATCTTAACCCTTTCATTCCCAGGAGTGACCAACAAGGAATTTCTCTTCACATTATTTTACCTTCATACCTATCCAAATAGAAAGGTGACAAGAAGACAAAAAAATATCAAAAAGAGGATATTACTTGATTTAACACCAAATTATTAGAACTAGAATCATACAAGTGACATAACAGGAGAATCATACAGGGTTGTATTATTTGGGGTACCTGTAGGCTGATTCAAGTGTTGCAAAGCCACTGCAATAAGAGCATGTAAATAAAAAACTTTAACTTTACTAGTGGACATACCACTGTGCCCCACTAATTATTTTCCAAAGTGATGTAAATTAATTTAATTTAATAATAAGTTCTTAATATATAGCGCATTAAAATTGAACTCTATGTGAGAGTTTCCCCTCAAACTACAGATGAATAACAATATACCCTAATATGTGGAGTATGTAGGATTCCACGTGCAAATTTTTGTGTTGGCTTATCATTTATGCATGCCGTTTAGAACTATTTAAATGCTAGGGCTTGTTAGCACGCATATTTTTCAACGTATTCTCTAGCCCAAAGTTTTTGTTGCCGATCTTAGACTCTTAACTTGAGCTTCAGTGCCATCGCTACAGTCAGGAAAACATTTGTAAGTCTTGTATGTTTACCATCGCTTGACCCTTCTTCTCATGTATTTTTATTTATTTTCCTAGTCAAACCTTGCTTGCTCACTCGCTTGATCACAAAACCTCAATCAGCTCTGAGTCTCCTCAACTGAGCGTGAGTTTGAAATTTTCTAGACGTAGCATCAACAAGAACTGTACCCTAATACGTATAGTATTTAGGTTTGTTACATCCCCTAGATGGGGATGCCCATCCATCACAAGGTCACTCTACCATTTCATCGGTTAGCTATAAAGTACAAATTTATAATCCTGGTCAGAGAGAGGCACTTTCACAGTAAAGTGTTTTGCCAAAGAACACAACATATTGACCCTGAGCCAGGTCTCTCTCCCAGACCTCGCAACATGGAGTCCAGTGCACTGACCATATAGGCCACTGTGTCTCCCACCTAGTGGAATTATGTCCAATGCTAAATTCCCATTCTCCCATTTTATTTAGCAAATCTACAATGGGACTGTGATGTTTCTCTACATGATACATGTATCATATCTACAAAAGGGTATTTATCAGTTGATCTACTTATGGTTATGCAAATGTTAATGTATAATTATGATAGATCTCATGTAACCTGATTTAGATCTACTGGGGGCAACTGCTTTATTTTGAAGTTTTATCAGATTACAACTTGTGCTGGCTGCTGATGGATGGCCAGCTTGGAAGAGTGATACACTCCTGCATTGGAAAGTCATTTGGAGGTTGCACAGTCAGGTCAAGTCGCTGTCAGGTCGCTGTAACCGCGGGTAACCTGCTACTGGTACTATGTAACCCAGTACAACCTGTCGCATAGTCGAGTCGTCGGTGTTGTATCTTAGGAAACTCAAGGACTAAATTATAACCAAACCCGCAATGAACATGAACATTCCAAGATCCTTTTATTCCTGTTCTATATCTGCGCAGGCGCATCCATGTACACGTAACACAACCATGACGTAACTTAATATAATGTAACACAAGTATAACAAAACAAGGTCACGATATAACATCTCCCCTTTTTTTTTTACGAAAAATAGAATGTGAAAATACGCAACACAAAAAAAACAAAACAAAAGTTTTTAAGTCAATTACAGCTATTACTTTAACTCGTAATCGTTCAAGTGCCTCAGGGGCCTATGGGTTGTCCGAGTAGGATAACGCTTTTCCGCAGGGGATTCACATAAAGAACCCGGTTGAACTACCAGAGTGTCATTGACATTAGCAGAATCAGAATTCTCTGGCAAGGAAGCAGGTTGAGAATTCATAAGGGGGTCAGCAACAGGCATTGACACTGTTGGTTGCTTGTTTGGAATACGAGAATCTCCAGAGCTAGCTAGAATGGATTCCTCCAACGTTGCTGTAGGAGGGATATAGGCAGACGGTATAGTTGAGTCGCGAACAATCTCACTGGGCTGATCTATGTTGGGAGATACATCAAGCGGCATAGACTGGTATTCAGATGCTAAAAAACCACGCGTCGAAGCCACATCTGCAGGGCGTCTCAACAGCTGGTCTATGTGTCGTTTCCACAGATTACCTGCCACCTTGACCATATAATGACGAGAACCAAGGACCTCAGTAACGACTCCACGCACCCATTTTCCTCCCCTTCCAAAATTTCGAGCCAGAACAGAATCGCCGGCATTAAACTTGCGGAAGCCTCTATGTGCAGTGCGACTCAGCATGGTAGAGTATTGGCGAGCTTCGACATGTTTTTCAACTGAAGGTGTCAGCAAGTCCAGCCGGTTGCGCAGTCTCCGGCCCATGAGAAGCAGTGAGGGTGGTTCGCCTGTGGTAGAATGAGGAGTGGTCCTGTAAATCAATAAATAATTTGCAATAACAGCATCTACATCTGCATTGGTAAGGTGGGCTTGTTTAATGGCTGATTTCAAAATCTGCACGACACGTTCTGCTTGACCATTTGTAGATGGCTTGTACACCGCTGAAGTACGGTGTAGTAGTCCATTGCTGGCACAAAATTGTTCAAATTCTGTAGAAGTGAACTGGGGCCCATTGTCTGACACGATAATTTCTGGCAAACCATGCCTGCTGAAGATGTCACGCAAGGTGGTCACAGTTGCTTTAGCTGAGGTAGTAGACATTTTGACTACCTCTGGAAATTTACTGTAAGCATCTACAACCACAAGGTAGGTACAGCCAGAGATTGGCCCCGCAAAATCCACATGAATGCGAGACCACGGTCGTGCTGGAAAGGTCCAGGGATGAATTTGAACTNCACTGGGCAGCCAGAAGTGGTGCCATCAGGACTGGTTTGATGACAATGACGCAGAGATAGAGCAGATGATTGCTGAGAAACGTAAAAGATTCTCTGTTTGGCAGAATGAAATCAGTAATGCTATAAAGAAACAGCAATACCACGAAATGAGATCCAAAGTCCAACGCCGGGTCCGTGAGATGGAAAATAATTGGTGGATTCAAAAAGCACAGGAGATTCAAGCTCTATCCGACAGCAATAACAGCAAAGCCTTCTTTGCAGCCACCAAAAAGATCTATGGGCCAACATCCCAGGGTGTTAGGCCAGTTGCAGGCAAGGATGGAACCCTTCACAAGGACTTGGCTGGCATTCGTGACAGATGGAAAGAACATTTCTGTGAGTTACTGAATCAGACTCCCTCGGTGAACATTGACGCAATTGCGAATTTGCCTCAACTCTCCGTAAAAAGCCATCTTGACGAGACACCGACTCTAGAGGATATTGCCACAGCTATAGGTGCTATGAAGAAAGGCAAAGCTGCTGGCCCTGATGGTATCCCTGCAGAAGCATACAAGGCTGCTGGTTCAGCTCTCATTGAGAAACTGCATGTACTCCTCATGCGAATCTGGGACGAAGAAGTAATTCCCAGCGATCTTCAAGATGCTCTGATTGTCACCATTTTCAAGAAAGGTGACACGGCAAACTGTGAAAACTACCGAGGTATATCCCTGCTTTCCATTGCTGGGAAGATCTTTGCTCGCATCCTTGCATGCCGCCTCTTCCCCATTGCCGAGGAGGTCCTTCCAGAGTCTCAATGTGGTTTCAGACCAGCACGTGGGACTGTGGACATGATTTTCTTGGCACGATAGATTCAGGAAAAGTGCAGGGAACAGCATAAAGACCTTTATATGGTTTTCATTGATCTGACTAAGGCATTTGACTCCGTACATCGGCCAACACTGTGGAAAGTGCTCTCTAAAATTGGATGCCCAGAGAAATACATCAGAATGATCCGTCTGCTGCATGACAACATGTCTGCATCAATACTTATTGATGGTGAGTCTACCGAAAGTTTTGTAGTGAAGACTGGTGTCAAGCAGGGCTGTGTCATAGCCCCAACACTCTTCTCGATTTTCATCTCCGCCGTGCTACACCTGGTGTCGGAGAAATTACCTCGTGGTATAGATATGCAGTTTAGGATGGATGGCAAGCTGTTCAACTTACGGCAACTGAAGGCTAAGACATTAACCACTCACATGGCTGTACTCGAGCTCCAATATGCTGACGACAACGCCCTAGTGACCCACACAGAGGAAGACCTTCAAGTAGCTGTGGATGCCTTCAGTTATGCCTATGATGCACTTGGCCTCACACTTAATGCTCGGAACACACAAGTTCTTTTCCAACCATCACCTGATCACACACTTGAGCAAAAACAACCAGAGATCACAGTTGGAGACACACGCCTTAGTTCCGCTGATCATTTCTCGTATCTTGGTAGTTGCCTGTCATGCAAGGCAGATTTGGATGTTGAAACCCAAGTTCGTCTAAAATCAGCTAGTGCTGCCTTCGGTAGCCTCAGAGACAGGGTTTTTAATAATAGAAACCTCTACACCAACACCAAAATAAAGTTTTACAAAGCCGTAATATTGCCAACCCTGCTGTATGGCTCAGAAGCTTGGACAACCTATAGCCGTCATCTCAAAAGTCTTGAGAGGTATCATCAGCGTTGCCTTCGCCGTATCCTCAACATCAAGTGGCAAGACAGACGAACAAACAGCAGTGTTTTGGAAGAGGCTAATGTCACAAGTATTGAGTCCTATATTATCAAGAACCAACTTCGCTGGGCTGGTCACCTTGTCCGTATGCCTTCATCCAGACTCCCAAAGAAGATTCTGTATGGTGAACTGTCCAATGGAAGACGTAACCAGGGGGGGCAACGAAAACGCTTTAAGGATAGCCTTAAACACAACCTGGAGCAGTGCGGTATCAACCCCAAGAACTGGGAGCAATTGGGCAATGACCGGCCTAGCTGGAGAAGTGCTATCCACACTGGTGTGGCGCATAGTGAGCAACGGAGGAGGGAGCACTGTGAGAGTCTCCGCTTGGCGAGAAAAGAGAGACACCAAAATGCCAGTGTAGTTCCAACCTCCACTGATTTCAGATGTCCAGTCTGTCAGAGAATTTGCTCTTCCCGAATCGGACTGTATAGTCACCAGTGAACTCATGTAAACTAATTTAATTTAATTTAATTCAATTTAATCACTGCCAAGTGGACATCTTACTCGTTATGAGGGATTGCCAACACACATTATTCTGAACCATCACTGTTGCACTTAAATCACTCAAGGTAGGTTGGTTCAAGTTTGGCACCCCCACTAAATAAAAAAACATGGGTAAGAAAAATTGCCGAGTTCATAGCTCAGTATTGAGGATAAAATTATGTACAACACAAATTTCCTACCTGGTGCTGAGCTGGGTGCAGTCCCATTGGTTACATGTGGTGATTCTTGTGGCATCTGGAATAAATGTAAAAAGAAAACAAATAATACGTTTCTGCTGCTTTTTTTATCTTTAAGTCAGTAAAATAGAATAAAATAGATTTTCCTTGTGAATTCTGACAAAATGAAAAATCAGTAGAGAAAATTATTGCATATCTGCACAAAAAGCCTATAACCAGTAAAGCTACTTACAAGGTTGTAAAATAATGTGCATTATAAAATATAGTGTGGTAAGTTGATGTGAGCAAATTAAATCACACAAGAATGATGCTTTAACATATATCCTAATTAATGAGCATATTTTAAGAATACTATGGTCTAAAAGAGCAATGCCATGAATTGAAGGATACTTTAGGCACCAATATTCTTAACTTCCTTTCAGGATTTTCTTTTTAAAGCTACATGATTTCAGTAGATTTCAGAAGAATCAAAAAGAGAATTTAAGTTCATGGGATTAAGTTTTTTAAAATCACCCCTCTATCAACCAGTATCTGTGAACCAGCAGGGTTCAAATTCAGCTTAAGTGATTAAATGAGCAAATAAAAACGGCATCTTTTTGTATGGCAATGCATTTTGTAGTTAAGCCTAAAAAGGTTGCAAGGGTTTTCCACAATTAATGGCAAGCTTAAGTGCCCAATGATAGTTATATATTAGGGCTGTCAATCTTGTCATCAGGACAATGTTTTGCTTGGGCAAATTTTTAAAGGTGTTGGTCAGGCCTATTGCCATGGCAATAGTAAAGCAGTGCTCAAAGATCCTCTAGAACTCAGCTTTTGAAATATATCTCAAAAATCAGGTCACCAAGTGACCTCAGATTTTTTTTTTGGAATTTCTAAAACTCTGTCACATTCTCTATCCTTAAATACAGCTGCCATATCTGTTTACAACTCTTGCCACACAATTTTGTGGGAAAGATTGCATGGGATTCATTAATTTGAATCCAATTTCTCCACCATAAAAACTTTTTCAAGCCTCCTTAATCTATGGATTTCATATAAACTGCAAGCATAACGCAGAGTGTAAGGTGACACAGACATACCTGATCATCCTCCAACAGAATGTAAAGGACTGAGTTACCCCTCACTGTTTTGTTAATCATATTTCCACCCCAAACACCAGGGTTTCCATGCAAATTAAAAGCTGTACTTTTATGGCCATAGGATGCGCAATAAAACCTAACCATATATCAAAAAATTCATATACATTTAGTAGCAATGGTCTAGTTTCTCCTACAATAACAGATTCAAATAAATGTTCTACTGTAAAGATCATAACTTAATTCGTAAATTAATTTTTTTAACAGTCATCTAACTTTTAGACTTGTTGTCCCAGCAAATTTGTTGCCACAACTAAAATCCAGATGTTCCCTAATCTCAATCAAATCTAGTGTCCCATCTCAAAGAAAACATCCAGCACCTGTAGGTACACAAGTATTTACCAAAAGATCCCACGGATAAGCCGCACTTTTATCCAAAAATCGTCGGCAGGAATTGGGGGTGCGGCTTATCTGCGGGAACATTTGAAATGTGAATGTCCATTTTTGTGTTCGATCTAATGCCTGGTTACTAAGCTTCTAATGTTCTGCTCAAGTTCTTGTTGTAATGCAAAAATCTACGGAAAAACTGTGTTGAATGAAGAAATTGCTGTCAACAAATACCAGAAAAAGACCAATCTTATGTCAAAGTTGGTAGAAACGACGTCCATGATATTAAAGTACTAAAATTGTGGGTAACACTCTAAAGTATTTTCCATTGCAATGTTAATGATGAGTTTACGTTCAATGAACAGCGGATGAAGAAGACTTCTCTGGACTCGACTTTGGATTTCTTTTGATTTCTATCAAAAAACATTTCCAAAATTTGAGTTGCTAAGTTCGGGGTGCGGCTTATCTGCAGGTATGGCTTATCCGCGGGCTTTTACGGTATATATTGATATCAAATGACCATGTACTGAATAAATTGAAACTAAAACTGAATTCAAATTAGATTGTTTGCTCTCAATTTCAAAAAGTAATCAATTATTATGTATATATAATCAAAAAAATTATAATGAATCAAATTGAAGAGTTGTCCTCAACAATATAAGCCACCTCCATGCTTATTAATGATGAATTCAGATATCTTGGTAGACACTTATAAATCTATAAACTAAATGGAGGCTCTACAATTTTTATACAAGTATCATGTGAATTCCCAAATTAATTTTGTTTTCTAGAATTGATACTGGTAGTCTGCAACTTTGGGATTGAGACTGCCTTTTCAAGGCACTGTATAACAATATAAATGACTTTTTATGGGGCCCCAATTAATTTATGTGTAAGATGTGTGATTTCCATCATGAAAAGTAAAAGTTGTCATTTATGATACAACTACTACTATTTTTTGTTGATAAAACCTTATCAAAATCCAAATCCTATATACATATTGTTGCTAAAATAGGTGTTTCTGACATATATATCAATAATGTAACTCTACTACTATCCTTCTACTACTAATACTACCACATTGAGCTGTTACCAGTGCAAGCCCTGCTAAAACAACAACAGAATTAATAACTATATATTAAATAAAGACTATTACCTTCCAGTTAAGTTAAACAAAGGAAATGCATCCTGAAGTGTTTGCCTCACCAATTCTTCTGACATACTTTTTGAAAATTGTACATTTTTGTTGTACTGTCCAGTGCTTGGCTTTTTAATTTTTGCCATGTCTATGGTCGTTGGCATTAATATTTTGCCATCAAGCCTAACGCAATCACTGTCCTTCAGCAACACAACACGTCTGGTGAAAAGGCCTGCACCAGTTGAGTTTTCCATCAGTTTTCCTGAAATAAATATTGCATACTTAGCTGAACTCTCAGTATAACTTCTTTAAGCACTGTTCATAATGAGTACTTCATTGGACATGGTTTCCAAAGACACAGTAGTTTAAAAATTCTCTTACCTCTCCTTAATAAAGCAAATTTTGCCCACCATCAATAAGAAAAACATCTTCTAGTCTTGAATGGTCTTTAACATCTGGGCCCCGTTGTTCAAAGGCCAATTTTTTATAACAATAACCCAAGATTAAATCTTAATCTGCATTTCTTTATTCCTTTACACAAAAGCCTTTGTGAGATAATTTTCACTTTTCTTTTAACAGCAGCCAAAAATCAGATTCTAGAGAAAAGAATTATTTTTAATTTTCCTTTAAGCTTTCAAAGTAATCAGATTTCACACTTATCCTGGGTTATCCAGAGGTGGCAAAATATGGCATACAAAAATCCTCAACTTGTGGTGCAACACTGTTTCACAGCAAGTTTTGGGTCAAATAATATGAAAGCTAATCACTATGGAATTGGCTTTTCTTTTCTTGCGTTTTTTTTTTCAGAATGTAAACTGGAAAAGGGACTATCCCCACTACATCTTATTTAGAAGTACTCAAACAGAGTAGTAGCTAGTAGCAATAAGTATTTTCTAATCAGACATTCCTTTGGTTTAGTGAATTTTTGTCTCCTTTTCATACTTCTTTGGAATGATATTTTTCACATGAAAATTGACATGAAAAATTTTGAATGCAAAATGTTTTCATGTGAGCTTAGTATGAATCTTGCAAAGACTGAGTGAAAATTCCCACATTTTCCAAAACATTTCACCTATTGATTTACTTCCTTAATTCAGAGAGTTAAAGAGCATGTGAAATCACTATGTTTAAAGGGAAACAGGTTTTACATGAATCTTGTAAGATTCTTATAAGAATCTAAGTTGCATGAGAATCCTACAAGATCTTGTAAGGTTCTTGTAAGAACCTTAAGATAGAACAAAGATCTTTTAAAGAAACTTACTAAGATTCTTACTGAAATCTTAATAAGATTTCCACCTGGGAATGTTTCATGTTTTTCACCTTGCCAAATCAACTTATCGCACAACAAAAACATTAAATTTTGTTGTGGGTTGAAAAAAGTTGTTGTGAAAAGTAAATCGTGGGTCTACTTTGAGCAACTTGTTTCCCATCAAACTCACAACCTGTCACCCTACAAATTTGCTCATTATTGTGCACCAATTGGAGGGTTTTGGTACATGTATCTCACATTTCACCACCTCAACCCAGCTTTGAACAATCTGACACTGAGCTTTAAATTGTTTGATCACTTGTCATCGAAAGAAAAGCTCAGTCTTCTAGGACTGTTGCCCTCATGACCACTTCCATACCTAAGGTAACTATGGTATTACAAATTTGCACAGTATGTATTGTAGAAATGGGATTCAGAATGTTGAGAGTTTAGGCTCCTTTAAATAGGTTTGTATTTTATGTATTTTTCTTTGTTTCAGAATCACTATAATAGTCATATATCACAAAGGATGAAATGCAACTCAAACAAGTCTAGCATCACTTTTACCATGGTTAATTCTAGACTATATCATATACATGCACAACGTATCTGTGAGCACTGACAAAAGGAAGAAGATTAAAAACAAAAAATGAGCCAAAAGAGAGTTCCACATTATCTCTCTCACCTTCAAATGCTTTTATGTGAAAAGAGCTAGGCCTGTGCTGCACCTTTAGAACAAACTATGTTAAGCTAGAGGAGTTGCCCACCAAATCCAGACACTGATCATTGATTGAAGCAAAATCCAAGCACTTTCTTATTCTCAGGTGTTGAAACATGTATTTTCAATCAATCCTACACAAAATTATTACAGCACTGTTTGACCTGTGAAAAAGAGAGTATTAAGCAAAATTAAGCTTCAGCTGACCACTTATTTAATAATAAGATAATTTGGTTTTATCAACTGAGTTGATAAGCTTGATATTGCTTCAGGCTTGGCCTTCTGCAGTGAGTTAATGGAAACTTATCCCCTTTCCTTTTTGAATTGATTGCTAAGTATCATTAAGAAAAAATTCCCATGAAGGAGAACTTCCTGTTGTTATTCTGTAGGAACTATGCCAATCATTTTTAAACCCTCCAAACTATTCACTCAGACTTGACTTTACTTGTTGTGGAAATGCACTTATAGATACACAATTCTTCTCTTTAAAAATTAATTACTTAAATCAAGCTGAGACAGACACCACCTTAACCGCTATGTAACAATCCATGATTCCAGCAACAATTTTTTTATCCCTAGAGATGCAACTAATCAAGACCACTTAAACATGCATAGAAGAATCAGATGGGTTTCAGTTTCATGCAATCATGGAATGTCGGGTTTTTCTAGGGAAGAACTGACGCAAATATGCCTGATTGTAGCTATAGACGTTAAAAGTTATTGGTAAGATTTTGGCACAGCTTTATACTATCATAGTACAAAGCCGTAGTCCCAAAGGCAATCTCTTGTTTTTGTTAGTGTTCTCCTTATCCAAGAAATGTATGCATAACAAAGCATAGGGTGTGCTGAAATCTTACCCTACAGTCCCATAACAATTTTCCCAGAAAAATATCTAAAATATGCTTCATCAACCATTGATCCAGAATCAAATTTAAAAAAAAGACATTTTTATCCAAAGAAACTCATTAAACTCTGGGCTACTTAAAAGGCCTGATGACTTCAAGCTGATTTGTGCTCTGGTTGCTTCCTTCGAGCTTTACAACAGAACAGAGTACAGTAGAGGCTTCTCTATTACATGCACTAGTAAATGAAACCTTTGTAAATCTGCAAGCGATGTATATAATTTAAATATTTAACTTTTGGTCGCGCCACTCACTAAGGATTCACAAATAGCCTTTAAGATTCAAAGACCAAGTCATGCAGAAAATGACTAAGACTTAGGGGCAAGGCAACCGAACCGTGATTTACTAGTAAATTTATTTATTTTTCCTTGAAGAAGGTGTTAGACAACTATTGTAATTAGCGTGCAGAAATATGAAATTGGCATACCATATTTACCCGAATAAGCGCTGCCCTCGATTAAGTGCCGCCCTCGAATAAGCGCCGCCCTCAAATAAGCGCCGCATCTGGGACAAAAAAGTTAATAAGCGCTGCCCTCAAATAAGCGCCGCACCCCCAATGCGGCGCTTATTCGAGGAATTCAGTATAACGAGGAAAAACACTATAAAACAATTTTAACACAGCATCAGCAATTTCTATTCTTCAAATGTGATGTTCTTTAGTTCAAAGTGACTGTATTTCTCTGCTAGGGTTGTCATGAAACGCTCGGGGTTTTTTCACCATATGAATTTCTCTCGTAATTCTATATTTACTATCCGTTTAGCATCAGTCCATAGGAACATTGACGGATAGAAAGTGTACCGTTGGATAAAAATATAGAAAAAGTAAATTTGTCTGGTACAATTTTTAAATGAGCGCCGCACTTGTGGCGCGAAAAATTAAATGAGCGCCGCGGCGCTTATTCGAGTAAATACGGTAATTATGTTAGAACTAGCAACTAACGCCTACAAAAGTCTGCAAACGGTATAGATCAAAAATTCAACTTTGGACACGAAATTTAACTGTTAACCGGTTGCTACTTTGAGCAGGCAAACTGTGCCAAGCCGTGAACCTTCGGTTTCACCGTAAGGCACAATTTAGTATGTTGAAATTCTCAGTTATTTTATTTTGCAGACTCGTCTGCCATGATAAAGCGACCTCGTGTTGTTCACTTTAGTTTATTTGCGAGTGATGACAAGAAAACTGATGTGAACATCAAAAATATAAAATAAGAATGCAAAAATATATGAAAAATGACATAAACATTAGCATCAGACGACTGCGGTTAACTGTGTGACGAGAATTAAGTTAAGAAACCACGTGAACTGCAGGAAATATTCATTTTCAAACTTCGACATCTTGATCTCGACTGATCTATTTAGCTACACGTAGTTAACTCTTACCTTGGATCATAAAGAGGATTACACATGATGGCATTGCTTCGTTCTGAAGAAAACCTCAAAATGTTTTTCATGGCATTGCAAGGACAAAAAGGTGTAAGCATATCGTTTTCTGTCGGCACCTTGCTTATAAACAATTACATTTAGTCCGGCAAGGTCACGAGACTGTTGCTGACTCAATGCGCATGTTCATTGTGCATTTAGCGGGTACAAAAAGGCCTGGGCCCAGATCAATGAGCGAACAAACCGAACAAACCACTAGCGCATGCGCAGACAAAATGCCTCTCAGTTCGGAGCCATTCATTTATAAAGTTTTCGACGCGTTTCTGCGAGGATTCAACTGGACGATCGACACCTTTTTGTATTGTTTTTTTGGAGATGGATTAAGGAGTATGACAAGTTCACCAACATTTCTAACTCTGTTGATGCTCATGGTGTTTGTTGGCCCTTTGGTTGAGGATACTTTAATGATCAAAGTGCGAACAAAACGCGAAAAAAGCCCCCGAAAACTTGAAGTTTGAGATTTGATTTACTGAAGATCAAAATGTGCACACGAGACAACAAACCTTGAAGGTTAGTCTTAAAATGTTGATGTTTTATTTTTGTGAATCACAAATTTGTATGTGGAGACGATCGTGAGATCAAAATTTAGATTTTGATCTTATTTTACTTCAACTTCGAAGTGAAATTGCGTTAAGTAAAATTGCGTTTCCCCAACTGTCAAATCACTTTAAATAACATCGTCTTTTCGTTCTCTTTACAGTCATATAGGACACAAGGCTTTAAAAAATTTTCCAGCTTCAGGATTAAGTTGCTCTTACTACAACCCTCGGCGAATTATTTTTCGGTAGGTTTTGGTGAATTTTTTAAGTCATGACCCAAAACCGTCTTTGGCCTTTTTGCTCTCCAAGTCTGTTGTACATGGTAGGTATGCATGTGTCTTAACAACGGTTATGGTCTTACTTCAAACAACTACGGTTTTGGCTTATTTTTTTTTACTGTGTTTTTGTGGTAATTTTTAATATCGCCTTTTCTAGCTTCATGTACTAATAGTAATAGTAATAGTAATCAAAGTTTAATGTTTTTACGTGGGGCATGGTTACCCATATTGCCCGAGCCAGAGGCTCATGTATGAAACGCAAGACAAGGACACCCATCACACAGTAATCTCGTGCGTGGGAAATTAACGTCTCCTACCCCTAACCCTGCAGGAGACGGAATCTCCATTTATTCGTCCCTATCCGAGAAGGCTAGAATATCTAAACCACAACGTAAAATCGATGTAAAATGTGGAGGTTTAAAGTACTGTACTTGAGACCTACGTGTTTGCGTTTGCACCTCTTCAGTAGATAAATTTCAGTATAAATAGAGAATGCTTTACAGTGGGAGGGTAATCTACGATATCCAGTTTTGGTTTAGACAGCAACGCCCTGGAACGCCATTTTATCATGGATGAAGCTGTGACATCAGAGCTTATTTCAAGTTGTTTAACTAACCTTTTTAACATACAACAACAAACATATGAAACATATGTGTGCACTGCGGTTATGAAACGTATATGTGCACGATCCTTCGCAGTAAAGCACTATTTGAGCAATAGTGAAAATCAGACCTGAAAAAAATTTGAGGCCTGTACGGGATTCGAACCACTGACCTCTGCGATACTAGTACAGGTCTGATTTTCACTATTGCTCAAATAGTGCTTTACTGTGAAGGATCGTGCACATATACCTTTTTAACATAAGAAAGACTTTATCGGCAGCGATTTGCCCTGCACTCAGGCACATATCAAATGAAATCTGCCGAATGAACCTCAATGGCTCCAAATTTGTTATTTTTGGCCTTTTCTTTTTGCTACTGCTGTTAAAAAGTGGTATTTAGATTAGATTGGCGTCAACACAAGAAAAGAAAAAAACATAATTTCTGAAGGAGAAATGGCTGTTATCCGATTTGATTTGGTCGTGTAGAATACCAGTCACTTTACAAGTAAGNCCCAGGGGAGGACATCCACCACACAGTAATCTCGTGCGTGGGAAATTAACGTCTCCTACCCCTAACCCTGCAGGAGACGGGGCCTACGGTTTATTCGTCCTTATCCGAGAAGACTAGAATATCTATCCATTTTTTGATTATAGAAAGGTAGCAAATTCTCCTCACTTATTTTAAGACCATGAGTATCGGTCCGGCCGGGGCTCGAACCCTCGGCCTCACGCACAACACAATTCGGCGCTCTAACCAATTGAGCTAACCGGGAGGCGGTTAGCTCAATAACTTGAATAACTTTGAATAACTTCTGATAATAGTAATAGTAGTAGTAATCAAAGTTTAATGTCTTTACGTTGGGCATGGTTTCCCATATTGCCCGAGCCAGAGGCTCATGTATGAAACGCAAGACAACGACCCACCCATCCCACCCCAGGGGAGGACATCCATCACACAGTAATCTCGTGCGTGAGAAATTAATGTCTCCTACCCCTAACACTGCAGGAGACAGGACCTCCATTTATTCATCCCTGTCCGAAAAGACAAGAATATCTGAACCATTTCTTGATGTTATAGAAAGGCAGCACATTCTTCTCAATTATTTTAAGACCTTGAGTGTTGGTCCGGCCGGGGCTCAAACCCTTGACCTCCCGCACATCAGTTCAGTGCTCTATCCATTGAGCTAACCAGGAGGTGGTTAAGGGAAGCTAACCAGAGGAAAAACTAACTAGAGGAAAAACTTCGGTAAAACTTATTTATCGATTGGCCCCCAAATCCCTCATTATTGTCAGTTATTTGTTTATCTATCTAGCTTTCGGTCTAACTAGTGCATTTACCTCAAAAAAATGCGTGGGCTTTGTCTCTTGAGTAAAACTGGTGCCGTTTTCTTCATGTTCATGTGTTTTTCGAAACGAGTGGCGTCAGCTGTATTCTGTCCTGTTCATTTCAGTAGAATGCTTTGCGTTGTGAAATAAATTTTTAGTCGAAGTGCACTATGAATTTCAAGCCATTTTAGTTATATTTCACTTTGCTGTATGTGTTGTGATGTTGAAGTTACTTCGTGAGATTGATGATGGAAATTAACTGTTGTATTCTCTTCTGTTTAAGGTAATGTGAAGTGACCCAATAATTGGTACTATAGACAGATTGGATGGCTGTGACATTTACTGTGGCTAGCTGTTATTCTAGGGTTTGTCATTATTCTGAGAAGCTTACTTCTTGTTTAAATTATCAGTCTTTTGTTCTCTGTACACAACTTGGCTAGACTAATATGCTATATGGGAGTTATGTCTACTCTATTTATAAAGGTAAAATTACCAATAAAGTTTTCAGAAGTGTTGTCCAGATTTCACTGAAAATGAATGTGAGGAGGGATCAGTCATATTTCTTAAGAGCTTCCAGGATTAGAGGATCAGTCATATTTTCTTAAGAGCTTCCAGGATTAGAGTTAATAAATTTCTTGAGTGATTCATACATGATTTGTCTCCTGTAAAATTGACACAGCCAAACCTCCTGGCAAATGTCTGTAAATGTCTCCTTTTGTCTTCAGTCTTATTTCTCCAAAATCTAATAGGTGTAAATCACCCATTTTCTTAAAGAGGTCAACAAAACTCTCCTCGTCATTTTGATCTGACTTCCTTCAGTCTTATTCCCAAGGGATACAAGCCTTGGGAAATAATTTGGTTTTTGTCCTCACTGATACTATCAGCTGTACAGGTTCCCATCAAATTTTCAGATAACTCTTGTAATTTAATAGGTTGAAAAGTAAGGTTGCTAAGTGTGTATCTGATGTTTTTGGGCAGTAAGAAGGATAGATGAAGTCAAATATAATTTTTATTGGGAAAGTAATGGATTCATTTCACTATTATTATTACAACTGGAAGCTCAATAAGTTATTTGGTTTAATTCACATTTAGCAACAGGCTGGTCTTTCTTTTTTTGTTCACACAGCTCTAGTTATGGTGCAATTTTCATCCGTTGAGGGTTAGGGGTAGTTTGACCAAAATAAAGTGATCAGATTTTGGTAAAATTCTTTCACGTCATAAACCATATGTGATGATATTTTCAAGACTGATGATTGAAAAGAACTTTCTTCTCTCTGATAAAATCCCTTATTATTCTACCATTTCCACCAAGTTATGACGACCATACCTCTAGTGCTAATATTATCTTACTTTTAACGCGACAATGACATTTTGTGTTTCAGTAATGATCGTTCCCGCCGGTTGTGATTCATGAAAAAAACTTTTCAACCAAAACCTAAACTTCTGTGAACTGTTGTTTTTTGCTGAAATTGCAAATACATTGAATTGCACTGGAAGTTAAAGCTCTAAAACACTCAAAGGAAAGTAAGTACTACAAATGTACTCGATTTGTTGAGATAGCAATGACACGATTAAATTACTTTCCAATACGTCTGCGCTCTTCGACAGGCCTCTTGTATCATTCACAAAAAAGATCATCTACATCGATCGCACCAATAATTATTAAAGAGTACTCGAATTGAACTGGATTGTATACCCTTTTGCTTTTGGAAAATCAATCGATTGTGACTTCCTTTCGCACACCACACAACCATATTAAGACTAGGACGCTTCCGAGTCTAAGTTAAAGAGGGAAAAACGACAAGAAAAGTTGTCTCAAGAGCTCGTTCCACTATTCTTTTCCGACGCATTTTCCTCCTGCACTTCTTTCGCGGGAAACCTTAACCGGTGCGTAGCAGCGGTTATTCGCTTCACACAAATTTACTGAACATGCGCAGACAACTTGGATCTCTGCTCAAAGATCCAACGGATAAGTGTCTACAAAATGTACTGCGCTATCCACCAGATAGAGATTTTATCCAGTGTATAGCGTTATCCATCCGTCGAACAACCGGAGCCTAGGATTTAGTCAAGGAGGGTTCGAAGAACTGTCCGAGGGCATCCTCCCCCGTGGGTTTTTGAAAATTAGGTCTTCGGGAGCATGATTTCCAGCATTTTGAAGGAAAACTTAGGGGGGTTCGACCGAAGCACCCGAACTACCCCTGGATCCGCCCCATGATTTAGCCATGCGTTTCCTGTCTGGATCCCATTGTCATTATGGAAGGAATGAATCAAAAGTTGAAGAATGTCACGCGATAGACTGAGAAACGCAGTCGAATAAGTCACGCGATGAACGAGTTGTGCCACAGATCCAGTCACGCGATTGACAAAGTGTCAAAATAGAATTTAACTACGTTTCTTGATTTAATTTCATAAATATATTTTATTTCTGTTTTAGCTGAATGGCAGCACTTTTAAACAAGCGTGGCTCTTACCCTTAGAAAATTAAGGCTGAGTTGATGTAGAGTTGTATACCACACAGGGACAGCACAAAGCCTTCAAAGATACAGATCTTATGTAACACATACAAGACACATTACTCCTCTGCTTTCCCGCTCCCTCGCCACTCTCAGGTATTACAGTTGAATCGTGGGATTGTAAAAGTAGCGAAATGCAACTTATAAATACCCGTGAGAAAAACATAAAAGAAAAACGAAGGTCATTTCCAAAAAAAAAAAGAACTTTGATTGCTTCAAGTAGAGTCATATTTCCTTATGTCGTCTTTAATACCTCATACTAACCAAGTCGAGGTCCTTGTTGTAAGTTGTAGACGAGTTTATGGCTTAAGCGTAAAAGGCACAAGCCTTAAATCTCCGCGGAAAAAACTCAGACTATAACCTTGCAGTAAGGACTGAGGAAACCGGGTTAGTATAAAGATATTCATTATATCTTTGGGTTCATAATTTCGATTCAAACAAACTTTTGAATTTAGTGCGCTGCACAGTGAAATACGGCCCGCTAAATTGACCAATCAAAGCTGTGTAATGTAAAGACGGTTTGACTTTTAAGCGACGCTTCAATCTGGAATGTGATTAGTAGAAATCTTGTAGCTTGAACTGTCCCTGCCAGTCAAAGCAATCTTTGTTGATTCAGTTGCTAGTTGTTATCGTCCGCTTTCAAGCACCAAACCAGATGACAAGAAGTTTGAAGAATGTATTGAAACAGCATATCTAAGTGGCAAGGAAGTAATCCTAACTGGTGACTTAAATATAAACTTAACTGAAGAAAGCTCAATGAATCGCGCTTTAACGAAAGGTCTCAAGACCATGCACTTTGACCAGTTTATAATTGACGTAACAAGACCTGCGAGCAGAACTTGTTTGGATCATACGCAGGAGCAAGAATATCAGTGTAGATGTACTGGCCCATTTGCCAACTTTTGCGGGGTGGAAATATTTTAAACAATCAAAGCAAGATAAGCAAGAGCACAGTGCAATTTAGTACAGAAACATAAAAGGCTCCCCTTGTGTTAACGCCTTTGTGTTCGATGATGTAAATGACTCTTTGGCCGCTTGGGAAGATATATTTTCTCAGGCAATTGATATGCACGCGCCTATCATGCAGAAGCGGGTTCGTAGAGTCAAGCAGCCGCAATGGTTAACAAGAGACATTTTGGGTCAGCTGTCGAAAAGAGACAACCTGCTGAAAATAGCCAGGGCATATAACACCGCTGACACATGAACAAGGTAACGCAGCGCGCGAATTCAGGCCACCAATATAATCACAAGAGCAAAAACAAACTACTTCAAGGCTTCGTTCTAGAATAGCAAAGGGAACTCTAAATCTATTTGGAAGTTAATAAGATCCCTTAGAGGAGACAAACCAACGCGTCAACCAGAATTTCTCAAAGTTACCAAAGAAAAGGTAATCTCAACAGCGGCAGACATAGTGGAATATTTTAATCTGCACTTCACAACTATTGTTGATAAAGCGGAACGATCTCATCTCTCCTGACCACAAACAATTGCAATCTTGACAAACTCAAACAGTTTTTTAGCGAAAAGCTACCTTTAGAATCACAGTTCACTATACCTCAGGTAATAGCTGATAGGGTGAAGGCATATTTACTGAAAATTCCAGCCAATAGAGCAACTGGAGTTGACGGAATCAGTTGTGCTCTTTTGCGCCTAGGCAACACAGAAGTAACGCCATCAATAGCAAAGCTAACTAACCTATCGCTTTCATAAGGAACTTTTCCTTGTCGTTGGAAAAGCGCCAGAGTGACTGTCATGAGAAGACACACAGGGTTTGCACTGTAAGTATCCCAGAAGGCTTCATACAATTCCTTATAATTTTATTATAAGGAATTGTATGGAGCTTTTTAAGCGTTAGTCGTGGCGCGACGGATGTTGTCATGTATGATCCTTGCGAGGATCATATGTGACAACACCCGCCGCGCCTCGACTAATGCTAAAAAAGCTCCATGCAATTCCTTATTTTATTGTAAGGAATTGTATGGAGCTCTCCGAGATACTTACAGTGCAAGCCCCGTGTGTCTTCTCATGCTTCCTTCTCCAAAGCTGGTTATATGGATGATGTAAACAACTGTAGGCCTATTTCGGTACTTCCCGTGCTGTCTAAAATCATCTTACGTCATCTGCATGACCATTTGTCTGAATATCTATATGTTCACGACCTCATCTATAACAACCAGTACGGATTTAGAAAGCAGTACAGCACAGAGACAGTACTTGCCTATATAGTTGGTACTCTGCTGTTCAATATGGATAAAAATCATATTAATGGTACGGTTCTGGTTGATTATAAGAAGGCTTTTGACGTGGTAGATCATGTGACTCTACTCAGCAAGCTTGAAGCCTATAAACTGGATAGGAGCGCTTTACAAGTCATATCTAGCCGATCATACTCAACTGGTTTCATTCATAGGACAGACCTCGATCGTTAGGACTATTACAGTGGGTGCGCCAAAGAGTTCCGCATTGAGTCCCTTACTTTTTGTGCTCTTCATCAATGACTTACCCTTAAACGTCCACACGCGGATCGATATCATTGTTTCGTGTGCTGACGAAGCCACCATCCTCGCTTCTTCCGATTACATAAATGTAGAAGAGCTCAAGAACACTCTCTCACGCGAGGTCTCCAACGTCGATGAGTGGGCAACAAACGACAATAAACTGTTCCTAGACGAATACAATACCAATTGATGAACCGCGCCTACGAAAACGTTTAACTAATAATGAAGATCGCAAGCTCGAAAGAGAGCTCAAAGGGAGCACATAAGAATAGGTCGAGAAGGTCAAGCTGCTAGGCCTTTATCATAAATTTAACGAACAGCTCAGTTTCGATGTTTATATTGACTCTTTATGTAAGAAGATTTCAAAGTGTATCGGCATACTTAACAGAATTAAGGCTTACTTACTTAGAGCAGAGCGTACACTTTATTATAATGCTTTAATTAAGCCACTGATATTATATTGTGGTGTAACACAGACAAGCTGCTAGTCGTGATGATATAAATAAGATATTTAGTATTCTAGGGTGGGTGCAATATAACATCGAGTCTGACATCAAAAGATGTATTTATGTTGCTGATCTTCAAGAGAACGTAAATGTGAAATGCTTCCAGTATGCGGACGACACAATAATCTACGATCATCCTAAAACATCTGACCAAAATAAGTGTAGAAATTAATTAATAAACTAAGTCCCTGCTCTAAGCAAAGTACCCTTGCCTTTAACAACGACAAAACCAAGGTTATGATCCTATCCATCCCGCAAATGTCCCGCAGAGTACATCACCTTGACGAGTATGTCGTAATCAGTGGTTACAAACTAGAAGGTATTTTATCTTGCAAACTACTTGGAGTTCACATCAATGCCATCTTAAGTGGGACGATCGCATCAAACACACGGTATCTAGATGCAACACCACTCTATCGATACTAAGAAAATTGAAATACCTTGCCAAATATGAGCTTAGAGAGCAACTGACAGAAACATTGATTTTTTTCAAAACTGAATAGATTATGCCGATCGGGTTTTTCACCCTTTACCACAATTCTTACTGTGCCGCTATAATTTGCAGCTACAAGTTTTGTCCTTGGTCACTATGTTAACAACTTTCGGGATGTATTTAAAATCGGATGGCTTCCAATCATTGAGAGAAGAGATTTGAGCCTCCTGGAATTATGCTTTAAAGCTTTGCATAACACTGAGACTTGGCCAGACTATCTTAAAATAGTAAAACAGGAATGCCGCAAGGAATTGCGCTCAAGATGTTCAATTAGATTGGTGGTCCCGACCGAAAAGAGCACTTTCTAAGATAACGCGTCGAAACTATTTAACATTCTACCAGAATCTATTATAAACTGTAAAGATTACAGAACCTTTTCAAGACTTTCAAGGAGTTTTTTATGTTATAGAGTGATTACAGAGTGATTAGTCAGTTTTACTGTAATTTCTATTCTATTAATCCTACTTCTACTTTTAATTGCATATTGAGTAATTTGCGAATAACTTAATTTGATTTATTTTAGTTGTAATTGATGTATTTTAACAGGGAAGGGCCAGCTAGTGGATCTCTTGATAAACCATCATCATTGTTATTATTATTATTATTATTATTATTATAATTATTATTATTATTATTAAGATGCTTAATGGCTTACAAGAGGATTATGGGTACTTGCCCTGCCTATTTAAACGAACTGTTAGAACTAAACAACAGCCAGCACAGCAGAAATACACTAGGTGCTAATTTAACCATTTTACTCAGGAGATACATTAGAGAGAAAGAGGAAGGCCGCACGTTTTCTCCAACAACCTCAAGATGTTGGAATCGCCTCTAACTTAAGCTACGTTCTTCTCAACCTGTACATACATACATACATACCTACATACATACATACATACATACATACATACATACATACTTTATTTGAACACCTCCCATACTTTATTTGAACAGTTCCCTGTCTAGGGCTCTTCCGCCGTCAATGCTAACAACTAATTACATGAATATATCATAATATGCTAAAATTAAAAATTACAGATTTAAAAAATAATTATAGACTTTAGCCTTAATTTTTTTTACGTCAGAGGTTTTCTTAATCTCGTTTGGAAGGTTATTATACAGCTTTGCACCCCGAAAAGCAAATGATCGTTGCCCTGTTTTTAATCTACAAATTGGGAGGTCTAATTCACCACTGTATCTAGTGTTTCTGTCGTGAATCTTCGAACGCTGAATAAGTTTTCCAGTAAGATAGCTGGGTATCTGGTCATGAATACACTTATGGACCATTAATAAGTCGTTTGTAAGCAGTCTATCGTTCACATTGAGCCAATTTAGAGCTGTAAATACTTTGAAGAATGCTTTGTAAAAACATTTTGAATAAAGTCAGCTTAGGGATAAGATGTTTAATCCTTTTTAGATAATTTATTCTTAGATCGCATGATATGAGCAATATGTTTTACCTTTAACTTTTAGATCTTGATTTGCTGTACATTGTGATTTTTAATGAGTTTTTAATTAAATTCTTAATTAGGTTATTAATTATAATAGGTTTTTTTAATTGTAACGATGTTTAAAGAGGGCTACAAGTTCATTAGTTTTTAACTATTAAGTGTCACCCTCTTAAAGTAAAGTTTGATTAATTTATTGATTGATTGTATTCTTTTAAACAAACTAACGAAACAGTGGCGTTCAGCGTTAAATCATGCAATAATCATTTAATTACGGCAAGGGTTTGTCTCTCATCTAAAGGTTCCAGAGCCCCCAGATTTAAGGGTTTTCGTCATTTTCTTATTCGATAAAGCCAATTTCTCGAGTTCATCGGCTTTTTTTCGAAGAATTTTTTAGCAGCTTCAGATCCCTTGTTTTGGATGACATCTCAGGTTTCGATGACATCCCAGGCTCTCAGTGTCCTATATATCGTTGAAACATTCACCTTGGGAAGGAATTCATCCGAAGACTTGCATTTAAGAGAACAAACGTCAAACCTGATTTGGAGCGTGCATTTATACCTGTTCACACAAAGTCCTTTGCATCCATAGCTTGCTTTCTTCTAAATTCGGCTAGTCTGTAAAGCATATCAAATAACTGCGTTCAGCGTTTAAATCATGAGATTAAGGCAAGGATTTGTCTCTCTTCTAAAGGTTCCAAGGCTCGCAGATTTTTGAGCAGTCGTTATCTCCTCACTCAATACAGCCAATTTCTCGAGTTCATTGGCTTTTTTTCGTAGAATTTTAGCCGCTTCAGATCCCTTGTTTTCGATGACATCTTTGATCGTGAGGCCTAGTTTCTCAGTGTCCCATATTATCGTTGAAACATTCGAGTTGAGAAGGACTTCATCTAAAGACTTGAGTTTAGAAGAACAGGCCTCAAAACTTGATTTGGAACGTGTTTTTGTACCTGTTCGCGCAAAGTCCTTTGTATAAATGGCTTGCTTTCTTCTCAACGCGGCTAGTTCAGCAAGGATATTTTTTATGGGGTCATTCAGACCTTGGGTTTCAGCGAGATAGCGAAGGTACCATAGGTTATTTTCCTCTAATGTACCTAACTTGCTCAAGGCAATCGCATCCACTTCATAGATGCCAACTAAAAGCTTTTGCAAGAGATCTTCGGCCTTTGTGATTTCAATTGAATTTTTAACCTCCTCGTAGAAATGTGCCCCGCCTTTGACGATTGTCCCACCAACATAGAAACCAATTCCTGCTGCTATAAAGGCCGTGGCGGCTCCCGCAGTCATGAGTGAAGCGATTCCACCACCGAGCATTACCAATCCTCCTAGTATTGAACTAGTACCTACAAAACGTACCGCCTTGCAGTCCTTCCAAACTTCATCAAGTTTATCAGCTGCTGCATGGAAACTCTCGGCGGTTTCAATAAGTTTCGAAAAAATTTTTATCATCCTTACTTGAAGTTCTGCTAAAACATCCCCAACCTGTTCCATTTCCAGTTCAGAGAGATCTATTGACAAACTGTTCAAATCTTCCGGATTGTCCACGATTCTGTCCCATTTTTTCTGGCGAAAAAATTAAAGTGAATGTAACTGCTCGTACAACCTCATAGATTGCTTAAGTATGTCCAATATTACGGATCGATACGAGTCATCTAATGTATTCACGAGTCATACGACCCATGCTCCTCATTAGGGAGACTATCAGTTTTTCACACCACACCACTGACCCCTGATGGTGATTCGTCGATCATTAATATTCATTACGGAAACCATGGAAACGAAACAAGTTGTAAGGCTGTAATTTCTATCCATGAATGCCACTGGATAGACTTGGAGAGTATTCGTCGTTCTAGAAGGACCGCGTGAAGTTGTATTGAAAAGCAACGTGCTAAGTGCACGAATTTATGAGTCGTACGAATCGTAGGAATTGTCCTGAATGTAGTCCCGAGTCATAAGATTTTTCAGTCTGTCCGTGAATCTGACTTGGAGTCTCTCTAGTGTGTCGCCTCGAACAATTTGAGCAGATCACGCACAAAGTGCGCAAAGGCAAAAGTATTCCTCGTTGTGAAGGTGCCGCGCGAAATACACAAAAAAACAAGACTATTCCTCATTCTAAAAGCACCGCGCGAAGCGCATGCAAAGTGCACAAACTGCAAGTGTATTCGTCGTTCTGAAAGCACCGCGCGAAGTGCACAAATAACAAGAGTATTCTTTGTTCTACCAAAAAAGCATTACGCGAAGTGCACCAACAAGGTTTTGTTATCCTTAAAGCATCACTTAAAGTGTATTATTATTAACTTATATTGCACTAATATCAATATATATAATTAACAATTATTCCACGAGCGCGCGTTGGATATGAGATGATAGATAGCCAACGAGGCGCATAGCGCCGAGTTGGCTATAATCATCTCATATCCAACAAGCGTGAGTGGAATAATTGTTTTATTAAAAACGTTAAATTAAATTATTAAATTTTATTAAATTTTTAGCTCCCTTTTAATTTTAAGTTGACACGTACGCTTGCCATATTTGTAGATTATGGTATCTTGGCTGATATACCATAATGGCTAAGCCAATAAAAAGTCTTGAATTGCATTATCCAATGATCTAGTTTTTAATAATATCAGATATACCCACCCATCCCATCCCAGGGGAGGACATCTACCACACAGTAATCTCGTGCGTGGGAAATTAACGTCTCCTACCCCTAACCCCAAACGTCCTTATCCGAGAAGACTAGAATATCTATTTATTTCTTGATATTATAGAAAGGTAGCACATTCTCCTAAGTTATTTCAAGACCCTGAGTGTTGGTCCGGCCGAGACTTGAACCCTCGACCTCCCGCACAACAATCCGGCGCTCTGAGACGGTATTTGTATTTGTCGTTCAAAAAGCTCTGATTGAAATATACAAACAACAAAAGTATTCCTCGTTCTTAAAGGACCGCGTGAAGTGCACAAATAACAAGTTTAATATCTTTGTTGTACTGAAAGGCAACGCGTGAAGTGCTCAAAAATAAAGGTATTCCTCGTTCTAAAAGTATCGCGTGAAGTGCACAAACAACAAATCTATTCCTCTTTGAACTAAAAAAAAAAGTCCTGCGCGCAGTGCACAAACAGCCACTATTTCTTGGTATTGCTAAAAGCACTGCGCAAATCAAAACATTTAAACTAAGAATGGAATTTTCAAAGCCCTTTGGGCTGGAGGGTCAGCAAGGAGTGAAATTAGTTTCTTTCTCACCTTCATTAGCTTTTTTCATGGAGACTTTTATCGTAAAAAAAAAAATTGTCACTTCTAATTTGTTATAAATTGTAACTTCTACGCACATTCATAGAGTAACGATGGATTTATTAAATGTAATGTCTATAAAAAACGTAACTTTGTGAAAGGAAAAGGATAGACATTTCGATTGTTACCAAATAGCAACCAAAAGTAATATGAACTCTGTTTCGATTGAATGTAACATTAAAGAGCGGAAAAAGTCGACGCACAAGTCCGCACAGCGAATGCATACAACATGACTGTTGAGACGATGATTAGGGAAGAAAAACAGGATTCTAACTAATTGTTTCCAAGAATGCCTTTAATGAGATCTAGCAAATTTTCGAAGGAATACCCTTAGCGTTCCGCGTAAGCACCTAATTATGGCTTTTGACACCGATTATCTGGCAGGAATTTATATAAAGATAAAGATAATCCGGGATAGAGAAAGGTAAACCTGGAGTCAACGAGAAAAGACTGAAAAGTCAATATTCCACACCAATTACTCGTTTTGCGCGACTGAGATAAATTCATTATTAAAAGACCCAACACGTGGCACTACTATGTGGTAAGTGCTTAGCTCCCTTTTAATTTTAAGTTGACACGTACGCTTGCCATATTTGTAGATTATGGTATCTTGGCTGATATACCATAATGGCTAAGCCAATAAAAAGTCTTGAATTGCATTATCCAATGATCTAGTTTTTAATAATATCAGATATACCCACCCATCCCATCCCAGGGGAGGACATCTACCACACAGTAATCTCGTGCGTGGGAAATTAACGTCTCCTACCCCTAACCCCAAACGTCCTTATCCGAGAAGACTAGAATATCTATTTATTTCTTGATATTATAGAAAGGTAGCACATTCTCCTAAGTTATTTCAAGACCCTGAGTGTTGGTCCGGCCGAGACTTGAACCCTCGACCTCCCGCACAACAATCCGGCGCTCTGAGACGGTATTTGTATTTGTCGTTCAAAAAGCTCTGATTGAAATATACAAACAACAAAAGTATTCCTCGTTCTTAAAGGACCGCGTGAAGTGCACAAATAACAAGTTTAATATCTTTGTTGTACTGAAAGGCAACGCGTGAAGTGCTCAAAAATAAAGGTATTCCTCGTTCTAAAAGTATCGCGTGAAGTGCACAAACAACAAATCTATTCCTCTTTGAACTAAAAAAAAAAGTCCTGCGCGCAGTGCACAAACAGCCACTATTTCTTGGTATTGCTAAAAGCACTGCGCAAATCAAAACATTTAAACTAAGAATGGAATTTTCAAAGCCCTTTGGGCTGGAGGGTCAGCAAGGAGTGAAATTAGTTTCTTTCTCACCTTCATTAGCTTTTTTCATGGAGACTTTTATCGTAAAAAAAAAAATTGTCACTTCTAATTTGTTATAAATTGTAACTTCTACGCACATTCATAGAGTAACGATGGATTTATTAAATGTAATGTCTATAAAAAACGTAACTTTGTGAAAGGAAAAGGATAGACATTTCGATTGTTACCAAATAGCAACCAAAAGTAATATGAACTCTGTTTCGATTGAATGTAACATTAAAGAGCGGAAAAAGTCGACGCACAAGTCCGCACAGCGAATGCATACAACATGACTGTTGAGACGATGATTAGGGAAGAAAAACAGGATTCTAACTAATTGTTTCCAAGAATGCCTTTAATGAGATCTAGCAAATTTTCGAAGGAATACCCTTAGCGTTCCGCGTAAGCACCTAATTATGGCTTTTGACACCGATTATCTGGCAGGAATTTATATAAAGATAAAGATAATCCGGGATAGAGAAAGGTAAACCTGGAGTCAACGAGAAAAGACTGAAAAGTCAATATTCCACACCAATTACTCGTTTTGCGCGACTGAGATAAATTCATTATTAAAAGACCCAACACGTGGCACTACTATGTGGTAAGTGCTTTCAACACTAGAATACTTTACAACTTTTACAGCGTTTTGACATTCGACTGACATAGTAAGTTCCAAATTCGCTGTGATAAACGCCAACAACGTTTGATTTTCCCTCCAAAATCAAAGATTTCTGGCCGAAAACCTACATTTCTCCCTTTCAGTTATAAAGATAAAACCCGACATCAAAGATGACTGATGCAGCTCCTTGAAGCAAAGCTTATAATAATTAGATAAAAGCTTGCAGCTAAGGAACAGAAAAATTTCTGCTTCATTACGAAACCGATCGACGGCAACCTTCCCTTCTTCTTCATCATCTTCTTCGATTCCCAAACAGTACTGCCTCGCGACTCTAACGAACTCAGTTATTTTTTAAAAGGCTTTCTCCAGTGAAATAAACCATAAATAAAAGCCTTGATTAAACAAAGTTGTCTGTGAAGACGCTCACCATTACTAACGCATCGAACAAGTTTGCATAGTTGCCACAGAAACTTACGATGCATTTCATGAATTTTCATAAATCGACGACTCGTACAACTCGTAGGAATCGACACAGTATCATCAGGGGTCAGCTCTCTCAAAGCGGTGAAAAAAATCGCCAAGTCTCCCTAATGACAATCATGGATAGACAGCAAAGCCTTACGAATCGTTTCGTTTCCATGGTTTCAGTAATGAATATTTATGGTCGACGACTCGTGCAACTCGTGAATAGATTGGACGACTTGCATCGATCCGCGGTAATGGACAACCCTCAGATTGCTTTCACTTGACTAAACGACATAGCTCAGAAAAAATGAGCAAGTGAGTCTAAGGTAGCTAGTACCAGTTTCCTCGCGCGGGGAACAGGTCACTCTCGTGCGTCATGCGCGAAAGAAACGCGCGAAAAAAGCGCGAGATTTAAAAGACGAAAAATTCAGAACAAATATTGCGGGGCGAGGCATTTTTTCGGTCTACGCTAGTTTTGTAAGAAGTTTGCCACCCAGCGTGTATTTGATGTGTTGAACGGCCAATGCGTATGCAGGAGACAAACAAAGATAAAGAAGACGATTCTCGGAGACATAAACGTTTTTTCACATCTTAACGAGAAATCCAATCGATACGAAATATCACGACAGCAAAGAAAGGACAACTCAAGTGAAAGAAAATCTGCCTGAAGAAGAAAAAGACTGTGAACCTCCGATGAAAATAATATAATATAGCCAGAACTTGTGAATAAGTACTTCAAGGTGAACTCGGGAGGTTGTCTTTGACAATTACTGAATGATTTTCTGAGCAGCAAATGTCTGAAAACATCAGATCGTAGGATTCGCGCGAGCACACGCAGTTGTCAGGGATAGCCGTGACAAATCATGACAACTATCGATCTTATGGAATCCGGATTTTTAAATACACGAGAACGCGCGTGAGAATTGCTAAACTCACGACGGCTTTTGGACGAAAACAAGTCCGATGACCCCTTCTTTTTACTGTTCCAATATAATGTTATCGCTGAAAGGAATCATCAGGAAAAAAGACTAGAAAATTCTACGGTGGGACATTTGTACTACATGAAAACTGTCTTTTTCTAAGTTTTCTGAAATTCCGCCCCGCACAAATCTTTGTGCATTTTCCTTTTCAAGTGCCAAAAGCAGTCACTAAGAAAAATCAAGGGTTCACCGAGTTAGTTTTCGAACTATTTGAGCCATAAGATACTAATGCGTCTGAATAATCCTTTCGAAGCGTTGTCATGGAAACCGCTAGTGACAAAATGACACCTATCTTTGGAGAACCAATTATTGTGTTATTCAACCCGGTAAGTGTTCAAATGGCCTTGGTCAGTCTTTTGGTTATATTCTTTCAAAGTTACAAACCATCAAAAATATGAAAACCGGTACCAGCCACCTTAAAGACGTAGACAGTTGTTTGAACCTGGCAGTAAAGCAGTATCAGACAGACAGACAGACATCTATATTTATACAGGATAGCCCCTTCAGTGTAGTAAACACTGGTATCAACGGGGGTCCTGTTACCCACCCAACCCACCCCAGGGGAGGACATCCATCACACAGTAATCTCGTGCGTGGGAAATTAACGTCTCCTGCCCCTAACCCTGCAGGAGACGGGACCTCCATTTATTCGTCCCTATCCGAGAAGACTAGAATATCTAACCAATTCTTGATGTTAAAGAAAGGAAGCATATTCTTCTCAGTTAATTTTAAGACCCTGAGTGTTGGTCCGGCCGGTATTGAACTCTCGACCTCCCGCACAGCAGTCCGGCGCTCTCCCAATTGAGCTAACCAGGCAGCGGTCGCGAAACTCTATTTTCTAGATCAGAGTAGTGCAAACGAATGTTGGCTGTGACAGTTACTGACGTTTCGGGAACCTAAATGGAAGTCATCATCAGAGTCAAATGAAGTTTGACTTGTTTGTCTTTTGAAGGTCTTACGGTCTGTTTCGTGAAACTGATAGGTTAGTTTTTCCATCATTCAAGCCTCAAGCAACGTTCATGAGTAGATTGACATTGCATTAGGCAAATGGTGTTGGTTGCTTTTGATCTGTCGGTAAAGCAAGGTCTTTCTGTTCAGGTTATTTGTCAAAAAAAAAAAACATTGTGAACGAGTCGATAGCAGAATTTCGGTAGTTGTTGGTATCTACTGAGAGGATGAATTGGCTATTTTACTTCAATTGGCAGTAATGTCGCAATCTGATTGACCAATTTGCCGTTTTCAATAAGAGTACAGACAACGCTGCTCGCGTCGACGTGTCACACAACGTGTCACCCACTGGACTCCACTGAAGAATCGTCAAAATTTCTTGCGCCTCGTGAGTCTACAACATTTTGACCACTGTGATGACGAATATCTTTGTCAATAAGGGTACCGACCACGCTAAACCACTATCAGTTTTTCAAATTTGGTAAACCAGCTTTTCAGAGTCAGTCTCTCAAAACAGTTCGTTTGGTAAGTTACATGGATTGTTATTAGGAAGACGTTTACGAACTTGTGCGCGCGCGACTCATGTGCGCGTGCTTTGGGATTACGTAGGTTACGCGGAACTTTTTATATTTGACGGGTGCAAATTTCTTAGACAAGATTTGAAAGTTTTTTGAGTTTATCAAGTGGCAATTTGTTTAGCAGTCGTTGTCGCTTTCCGTGAGTTTACCATTTACCGTATTGGAATAAACGCGTTTGTTGATTTCCGTTTCGCTTCCGAACATGGATCATTAACAACATCACAGCCTCATCCGTAAGGTCACTGCAAAACTGAGCGCAATTACAAAAAATCTCTTAGATTTATCAATCAATTCGCGACCTGCTTTTATTTCATCCGCTAATCAAGCCGATTACCGAGTCCCCAGGAAGTTGGAACTAAAACTACTTCATTTAAAGTAACTTCATAAGATTTTATTATCATGAAAAATACCTCAGTGGGACCCAATGTAGCCTGGATGTCTTCTTGTGCTGTTAAAGAAGAAAGACCAAAGTTAATGGACATTGACATCTGCAATGGTTTACCTTACTTACTCTTATCTCTCCAAGCGGAATCCCTAACCGTAACGACTTTCTAGAATTAATGTTTCATTCGCTCCAACGAAGGACTAACACTTGCATCGCCAGCTTTAGAAACGCTTCACGGTACCTAATTTACATTATCAACTCATTTAATAAAACCAAATTATCAAGTACTGGAACAGACAGGCAAGTATCAAGTCAGGAAATCATACCGATTGCACATTTATTTATAACGGCCGAAACACTCATACATGTCCAAAATTAAAAACGTTCTTTAATATACGAAATAGACATTTGAAGCGAGGCGGTTTAGACGATAGAAAACGACTGAGAGCAATGATCCGGCACAGTTAAACGATAAAGCCGAATCAAACATATTTACGCTTAAGAACTTATACGAATGGTACAAAACAAGAGACATTAGGCAAAAAAGGGTGACAGAATACCGTTGAAAACAATGCGCGTGAACACAAACGAACTTAATAAAAAAGCGACGAAAAGAGAAAAGAATATGCGAAGTAGGAACGGATAACTTCAAATTAATTTTGGCGGCAACAGTTTTCTCGCGGATTTATATATTAGCAAAGACGGCAAAGGAATCGTTAAAGTATATGTAGCAACAGCAAAGACTACGACCGTAACTGCTTGATACTCATAAAAGAAGATTGACAAAGCTAAGTTAGCCAGCAGTAAAGAGTACCTTTAAATTCTGTTCTGGTAGCTTCCTTGGATTCCAAGCTTTTAGAGACTGATACTTTGCTAGATGTTTCAACAGTTCTTGAGTTGTTTGTGTCGTCGGAAGTCTTAATAATCAGGTTTCTCTTTATTTCGTTGCGTAAGTCTGTGATAATGAAACAAAAATGGACAATATCTTGATTTACTTATTTACGACCTAATGGTAATTTCACTTCTGGTTAGGGACAGTGCCCCCTCATCTTGGGGAAGATACTAATA